CACTGCGTTTCCCAAACAGTTTCTTATGTCACATCCTCCATTCCGTACACATCTCAGCTTGAGGACAAGCTTACTTAGTACCCCTAGGATGAGGTGAAGGTCGTTGTATGGTTATCCAATCCGCCTAAACCAACTCCTCTACTCAATCATTCAATCAATCTGAAGATAATGGTACTGAAATCGAAGTCCTCTATGGTCTCGCCGTAACACGTGTACTTCTGACGCACGTAACTCGGAAGACGTTCAACAAACAGCTAAACAAGCTCGAGGACGAGCTTTTTGAAGGAATGGAGATGTGGGGCGCAGCTATTACCCAAAAGCTGCTCGCCATGGAGGTTGGCCTTGGATAGCGAACCTCTGGCAGTGACCTCCGCCCGCCGGCAGAAGCCGGTGCCTTTTTCCCCTTTTCCCTTTCCCCTTTTGTATATAACCTGTATAATAAATATTATAGTAAGACCAATGTAACCCGCTGCACATCAGGTAAGGGCGTCATGAACCTTTATCCTGACAGACCCTGAAAGGTCAAAAATTTTCCAAAGTAACAGGGAAAAATGCGCCATGTCGGTATCTTCCAGAAATGTTATCCTTGTAGGTTTTTAGAGCATTTTGAGCTGTTTTATAGGCATTCTTCTGATTTTGGGGCATAAAAATAGCAAGGAATGCTTATTTCTTAAGAACTATGAAAATACAAAAAAGTCCCTTTATAAACTTTGAAGACATTAAATACTCCCATGTACACCCAAAACTCCTACCCTCCAGCTTTAAGTCCTGACATTCGCTTCATTATTATTTGAGTATTAATTGGACGTCAACTACATAGCCAAAGCGCACTTGTGGTTCCAGCACGAAATCCCTCATCGGGTGCACTTGGTTTATGTCATCGCACTTAGTACAAAGAGGAATTTGTCATGAAAAACGAACCATTCGGAGAGGGCTAAAAGTGCGAAATTTGCGAAATAGGTATAGTTTGCCAATAGGCCCATTAACATAGCTGACAGATTTTGAGGGGTTCCGAATAAGTGAGACGACTTCTAGGCGATAATCATTCTAGGGCACTATTCGTACGTGTATAACAACGAATACAGCTCTTTGTTTCTGAACGCCTGCATCTTCTTATAAGCCGTTTTTTTAGGCTCATCTATTGCACTACATATATACGCCGATCTTGTCGTAAATGAAGAGTAGATGTAGCCGAGAAATAGAGTCAACGGACTCCGTTGCTTTCCTTCAAGTACATTTTTATCGAATATCAAATTGTCACATTGACCCTAAGATTGTTGCCCGAAGCATGGCTTCTTACGCAATCAGCATAAGGGCCCATGCATCCTGTTTAAAGAATCATCTACAAATTTCACTGTTCTTCTTTTTTGCTTTGTGTTGCTTCGTCATTGATTACATTGAAAATGTAATAATGTGCAATTGACTGTGATTGCTTTCTTGAAAGAGCACATGCTTTGTTAGTCACCGTATTTTTCTGGCCCTGGATAGTCGCCAGTCGCACCTGATCTCTAAAGTGCCTTGCACTGTGCCTTGTAATAATAGATTTGTGATTTTTATCTCTTAAGACATTTTTGAAAATGATATTTGTAGTGTGCAAAAGATTATGGTCTTCTCTGGATAAGGACACTGTTAACATCACAAAGGGACGCAATCATACAGTACCCACACTAATTATTCGACAGAAAACGCAAAAACTGACGATCCGCGTTTTTTTCGTTTTTTCTTCATAACTTCCTTCAAATTGCATAAAATACAAATCCGAAAAAAGCATGACGCTCAGCTCGTCAAGATGAATCTTCTGATATATTGCACTCTCGTACTATTCTGTTTTCAATCTGCTCGATTTTTGTATGAGGACGGGTATTCGTAGTGGTGTAACTCAGCGAAGAACACACAGGGACGATTCAAGTAAACATGAGTCAGTAGTGCTGTCCTCGTAGATTATCACGTATTAGTGAGTAGCGAAGGATTCCCTTTCCATAGGGAAAGATAGGCCGTTCAATTTTGAACAAATCGATGTCTCTCAAATTTTCGTTACCGTAACCCTACAGTAAGACGCTAATTTGCAAAGCAGGTGTGTTTTTCGTGATCAGCAGGTTAGATAACCTCTATGCGCAAGTTTTCCAAGGAATTCAGAACCTTTTATTTTTTCTCGTTCTAAGCTGTGAAGCTCGCCGACGGGTTTTGGCTAAAATATTGATGATCTTGGATTGACCGGAAACTTCGCCCATAGAGGTTTTCGGACTCGCTGATTACAGAAATAGTGCCCTCTGTGCATCATAAGTTCTTTTGGCAGAGTTATGCTGAGAGGAATGCTGCGATACTACGCAAGTTCCTAAGTTTGTCTGCCCTTTGCGCGTGTCTGTTGGACAACTTACCTGCTCCTTTTTGTAATTTGAAATCACTAGAGGCAGTGCTCTTAAAGCATGCTTAAACTAGGCCTTTATCTATATTGGTCGCCGAACTGTGAGCTGACGAACTCACGTCCGCATGAAAATCTTTCGAAATTTTAAGATCGCACATTTTGGCCAAATATCGCCGCGAATGGTTACAGATGACTCTGATTGCAGATATTATGTTTATATATACACATGTGATTGCTAATCTATGCCGCATACTGCTGCTTACCCCTTGTGCCAACTCTTACACCTGTTCGATATCGACCGATGACGAAATGTAATCTATCAGACCAGTTCGACTCCTAAGGCTAGGTTCATACTAATTCCCACGTTCCAGAACTGTTCCCGCACAGTCCCGCAATGTTCCCGCGCTGTGCTGAGAACTGTGCGGGAACTGCAACTGTGCTGCATGCGCTGCAGCCGCCCCACACGCGTTTTGAACGGCGGGAGTTGGAGAATTTTGACCGTTTTCAACGGTATTTCTTCCAAATTTCTCTCATTTTGGCCTTATTCCTCTACCCCGCTCCTTTTTTTTGATCAGCAGAACTTCGATCTCGAAGAGGGGTTGAAGAATGAGCGCTTTTCTGTTCTGCGTATGAGACAAAATGTGTGTTCTTGCGCTCGTCCATTTTCTCTTCGCTTTATTTTTACACAGACTCATTCCATTTGTTCCAGGAAGCCCCTGCGCAGTTTCCATAGCCATCTGCTATGAATTAGGGAGTAGGAGCAATTCCGAAATTGCATGAATTGAGACTTGTCTCTTGTTTTGATGAATTTCGTTTTTGGGCATTCTCCGCCCTTTCCTTTTTCCATATCGTTTTTCTAGTTTCTTTCTTCTATCTCGCTTTTCCTTGTGATGAGAAAAGCTGTGAACTTGAAGCGGAGTTGAGGATTGAACACGGTTCCCATCGTGTATCCGGGAGGATGAACCTTCTTGCGCTCGTCCATCTTCTCTGCCATTTTTTTAGGCCTACTTCATGTGTTCTAGAGACCTGTCCATGTCCCTTTCAATACAGATGCGAGACTACGCAGCGCCTTCCAAAACACATGAAGCAGGCCTGGGCAAAAATGGAAGAAAATGGACAAGCGCAAAAAGAGCAATCTGCCCGGATATGGAACAGAACAAGGTTATTTCTTTAACTCGCTTTAATTTCACACCTTTTCTCATCACAAGGAAAGGGGCTGGGAGGCCAAAAAGGAAACTCATCAGAAAACAAGAGAAAAATCCCAATTTATGCAACTTCAGAATTGCTCCTACTCCCTAATTCATGGCGAAAAGCGCTCATTCTTCAACCCCCCTTCGAGCTCGAAGTTCTGCTGATCAAAAAAAAGGAGCGGGGTAGAGGAATAAGGCCAAAATGAGAGAAATTTGGAAGAAATACCGTTGAAAACGGTCAAAATTCTCCAACTCCCGCCGTTCAAAACGCGTGTGGGGCGGCTGCAGCGCATGCAGCACAGCTGCAGTTCCCGCACAGTTCTCAGCACAGCGCGGGAACATTGCGGGACTGTGCGGGAACAGTTCTGGAACGTGGGAATTAGTATGAACCTAGCCTTAGGAGTCGAACTGGTCTGATAGATTACATTTCGTCATCGGTCGATATCGAACAGGTGTAAGAGTTGGCACAAGGGGTAAGCAGCAGTATGCGGCATAGATTAGCAATCACATGTGTATATATAAACATAATATCTGCAATCAGAGTCATCTGTAACCATTCGCGGCGATATTTGGCCAAAATGTGCGATCTTAAAATTTCGAAAGATTTTCATGCGGACGTGAGTTCGTCAGCTCACAGTTCGGCGACCAATATAGATAAAGGCCTAGTTTAAGCATGCTTTGAGAGCACTGCCTCTAGTGATTTCAAATTACAAAAAGGAGCAGGTAAGTTGTCCAACAGACACGCGCAAAGGGCAGACAAACTTAGGAACTTGCGTAGTATCGCAGCATTCCTTTCAGCATAACTCTGCCAAAAGAACTTATGATGCACAGAGGGCACTATTTCTGTAATCAGCGAGTCCGAAAACCTCTATGGGCGAAGTTTCCGGTCAATCCAAGATCATCAATATTTTAGCCAAAACCCGTCGGCGAGCTTCACAGCTTAGAACGAGAAAAAATAAAAGGTTCTGAATTCCTTGGAAAACTTGCGCATAGAGGTTATCTAACCTGCTGATCACGAAAAACACACCTGCTTTGCAAATTAGCGTCTTACTGTAGGGTTACGGTAACGAAAATTTGAGAGACATCGATTTGTTCAAAATTGAACGGCCTATCTTTCCCTATGGAAAGGGAATCCTTCGCTACTCACTAATACGTGATAATCTACGAGGACAGCACTACTGACTCATGTTTACTTGAATCGTCCCTGTGTGTTCTTCGCTGAGTTACACCACTACGAATACCCGTCCTCATACAAAAATCGAGCAGATTGAAAACAGAATAGTACGAGAGTGCAATATATCGGAAGATTCATCTTGACGAGCTGAGCGTCATGCTTTCTTCGGATTTGTATTTTATGCAATTTGAAGGAAGTTATGAAGAAAAAACGAAAAAAACGCGGATCGTCAGTTTTTGCGTTTTCTGTCGAATAATTAGTGTGGGTACTGTATATGATGTCAGAAAGTTTGAGACAATTTGAGCATTCATCATAGGCAAAATATCATAAAGCGAACATTATGTAAAGCGCAGAAAAAATCGTTAACAGATAGATCTTTTTCGAAGGAGTCAGATTGCAAAGTTCGCCTCGACAGCAGCAGCTCCAGCTATTTCTTGTCCCCGTACAACCTTCACTCTGTAAAAAACCGACTATACCACACAGCCATGAGATGAATTTGATTTAGATCAACTCTTTTGCTAGAAAAAGTTGAATTGGTGGCTAACCAGTGCTTTCAAAAGTTAGTTCTAGCGCAGCGCTCGCCTTTTTAATGGAATAATGTGAGTCAAGGCTACGGAATCATAACCATAGTAAACATGGGAAGCCATATTCGTAATCACATAGCAAAATACCGCGTTTATGGTGTTTCATAATCTGTTTTTCAAAGGCTACTGCATGACGAAGGCGCAGAAGCAGTATCAGTTGAGCGGGCGCGAACGTGGCGTAGCGTAATATCTGCTCCAAGACGAAGGCGGTCGCCCAAATAGGTTGAAAGCATGCAAGGCTGCGGCGCGCGGGCAATTGTTAAGCACAGGGCGCGCGCACGCTCGGTCAGCGGTCATCCAGGAGCGTGCGCGCGATCCGGGATGGCGCGTGCAGAATCCTCCAAAGACCAGCCGCTTCTTTTCCAGGCACGCCCTTAGGCCCCGGACAGACTTCACGCGTTTTGATCGTCGCGATTCAGTCGCGACAAGACAACTGATACGAGTTCATTGCATGCCGACCACCTTGCATTTCGGTGTGATACTTTTCCAGCCCGAAATTTTTGAATGTGAAATGAAAATGAATGGAAATCTTGGCGATTAAATCGCGACAATCAAAACGCGTGAAGTATGTCCAGGGCCTTAGGAGGCGATAATGCCTTCGCGCCTACCTCGCGCTTATGTCGTACTTGTCTCGCACATTCTTGCGATAGCCCTATGGACGAGAGCCTGGTTCCTCCTGACATTAATCAGCAAAGGTCACTGATTGAACGAGGATTTTCCAATGATAACCAAAGATAAACGGAGGTGAAACACTAGATCACCTTACTCGAGGTACTTAGAAATGTTGTTGTTTTTGTAGTCGGAAAGGTCACAGCATCAAATTTGTCGGTAACAAACAAAAAAAATGAAAATCAAGCTGACTGACAAACAAATATTCTGTTGGCACATAGGTTTTTCGACTATATTCGTTACTTTTCTCTTTTTGGCTGTGACGCACTTTTTTGGAAAGAAGATTAGGTATTATACAAATGTGCTCAAACAGCTTGAGTTTTGATAGCGAAGCGGGGTAAATTTTCCTTCAATGACCTAGTTTCGGCTTAATGCGTTTGATTCGTACTGAGAATGACTTTATTTTTGGTTTACCTACCCTTGAAATTTCGATCATTTTCGAAAAATGATCAAAATTTGGAGACTCCTCCTCTATTAACAATCTCGATACAGTTTCGGATTGATGTGTTTTTCGAAATTTTTCGAAAAATGATCAAAATTTCAAGGGTCAGAAATCAAAAATAAAGTCATTTTCAGTACGAATCAAACGCATCAAGCCGAAACTAGGTCATTAGAAATTTCTCTATTAACAATCGCGATAGAGTTTCGGCTTGATATGTTTTATACAGACTGAGAACAACTGTTTTTTTGGTTTTCCGACTTTTAAAATTTCGAATTTGACAAAATTTGAAAAAAAAACAAGAATCTTCTTTACTTCGCTACCAAAAATCAAATTCTCCGGACATATTTGTAGCTACTACCTACTCTACAGTATGCTCAAAGATGAATGCATCACATTCAAAAAGAGAAAAGATACAAAAATAGTTGCGAAACGTATGTGTTAACCTATTACAGTCAGCTGTGACTATTGAGATGTGGTAAATAAAAAAAAAATAAAACGCTGATCATGTTTTCTTATCAGAGGAATGAAGTCAGCCTATTAGCCTATAAACTATAACTTCAAAATATATTATACATCATTTTTTGGCAGTTCAATAGGCCCGATGTATCTAGGATTTTGTTCCAATAAGAACCAACGCTTCGAATGGATATAAGAGACCAAAATCACATCAAAAATTGTTGATGAAAAATTTTTCGATTAATTTCTCTCTTAGATGCCATGCTTTGCGAAACTTCCTTCTAGAAAAGTTTTGAGCGTTTCTTGTTGCCAAATTGCATGCATCCTGAGCTGCAAAATAATTTTCACCAAAACGATGCAGACTCAGTCAAAATACCTGTTAAGTATCGTATATACTCTAATGTCATTCGTACGTTTTCCAGTGTTCTCCGGCCATGCTACCGTCCACATGCCTTTTCTTTCTCGGCTGCACTTCCATTATTAATTACGAAAAAGCTCATAACTTCTGTTGGGGGAACGCTTCACAGATATAAAAGTCAGCATTTCGAGCTCAATATATTGGTATGCATCACCTTCCGACTTGCCACTTCAACCAAGTGACTTCCTTGGCAAGATGCACTTTCATTGTTAGTCTACTTTTGTTATTTTTTAGTTCCCACAGTTAGTTATTTTTCCCTTTTCTTTGTTACCATTGAAGAATCAAAGTTCATGAGGTGAACTTTCTAATTAATGCTAGGAGAAACAAGACGATTGTCCAGAGCGGAACTATCGCAAGAATGCACGAGACAAATGCGAAGTAAGCGCGAGGTAGGCGCGAAGAGATTCTTGCTTCCCAACGCGTTTGGAGAGGAAGCGGCAGACCTTTGGAGGATCCTGATCCTGATAATTGCCAGCGCGCTGCGTGCATGCCAACCTTGCCCGCTTTCAACCTATTTGGGCGACCGCCCTCGTCATCATGGAGCAGATATTACCCTCACCGTTATAAATCCTGCTCGCCATGTGCTCTGCGGTCAATAAAATCGCCTTCGCACTCAAAGATATTGCGTCTCCGCCATGCAGCAGCGTACACCTGGATTGTATTTATTGTATGACTACCGTAATCCCGCCCCAAGGTGCCGCAGTCGAGTCAGTATGCGCAAAATAGAGGTGATAACCCAGGTGAATGGTATCCAGGGAAACTGAATGGAAGGCCTCGACTAGCCACTGTCTAAGCGGCGCCTCAAGCGCGTCACAAAAATATTATTTCCAGATTTTCGTCGGTACCGTACTAGAGGACACCGGTTGTTCTGGAAAGGTACGGTGTTGGGCAAGAGCTGAAGTTGAGTTTTTCGCCCCCAAATCGTACAAGCCGTTTGGCTTAAAGAACAGCTTAGTCATTTCCTCGGTCGGTATTCGCACATAAAGTCGTTCATGTTGGTCTCGAAACCTTTGAAGAAGGAGGAATGCAGCAGGAATGAGAAACAGATGGTTGCCGTTCATTGCAGTGACTGTATGTAGCAAACGCTGAAGCTTACACAGGGTGTCCCACAAAATGCACTTTGATCAGTCACCCTCTTTTATGAAGAACTTTCGCGGTCATTTAACACCATATTATAGAGATTCTTTGAGCTTATTTAGAATTACAATATGGAGCGGATTGGCTTTATCACTCTAGAATTACGGTAGGAACATCCAAGAGGGTATGCGGGTAAAGGGCTCTTTTTGCCTCATAATGCAAACCAAGAAATCGGGAAACTTTCATACGAGGGCTAAACATACGCGTCAATAATATAATTAGTAAAACGTAATTTTAATTAGTTCGAAAAATTATCAAAATAATTAACTAACTAAGTACGAAGTTTGTGCATCGCTACATGCTTCTTTCCCAAGTTATGACAAATATACCGTGACGCCTGTCGCCTTCATCACTCAGGAAATAAGGTAGATTTTAGCGTGCAGCGTCATTGAAAAATCCTTCGTTTCAAGCTGCTGTCTTCTCAGTATTTCTCAAAAATGGACTACGCAGTTCCGAGAGCGTCAAAAACATGCTAAAAATTGAAAATGCGTAAAAACCTTAGTGCACATTTTTAGACTTGCCTGTAAAGTTCTTGAAACGAAGGATTTTTCAATGACGCTGCACGCTAAAATCCACCTTATTTCCTGAGTGATGGAGGCGACAGGCGACTTGCTCTATACTGCAAATCTCCAGCTCTACACTATGTTCTTTTGGCCGCGAAAGCACAGCATGTATATCTAATAAGTAGAGAACTAGCTGGCTTGCCGGCTCCGCTCGGTCCTGTCAAAACACTATGATAAAGTCTCATCCGTATCCCTGTACAACCTTTCCCTGTGCCCACGTCTACATGCCATTTCCCTATTCCCCCTGTTTTAGTAATCAGCATGCTCGATTACTCCCCTGTGCCAACTCCCAGCCCCATAGCTCAAACTTTGTAAAAAAAACGATAAAATCGATAAACATAATGGATAATTCTGAAAACTATTGTATTCGTAATCAACATGCTCGAATACCCCCTCTGTGCCAACTCCAAGTCCCGTAGCTCAAACTTTGCAAAATCGATAAAAATCGATAAAATCGATACTGATCGATGACGAAAAGTAGCTTATGGCACCCGCCACGCTCCGAAGTGTATGTGTGCCAAGTTTGGTCTGGATCGGTTGAGAAATGGAATATTCTATTCGGAACATACGTACAGACAGACAGACAGACAGACAGACACAGACACACACACACAAACACACACAAACACACACACAAACACACACACAAACACCCACACAAACACACACACAAACACACACACACAAACACACACAAACACACACAAACACACACACACAAACACACACACAAACACACACACGCACACGCACACAAACACACACAAACACACACAAACACACACACAAACACACACACACAAACACACACAAACGCACACAAACACACACACAAACACACCGAACAGACATTCAGCTTTGTATATAAGATCATAACGGCAATTAAAAAAACATCAGATAGCAGGAAACCGCGGCGGGTCCCGAAGCGCGCGCCTACTAATCTAGCACCTTTAGATTGCTGGTTCACTAGTAGGAGAGTGAAACCTTGTAATTTGAATAGGCTACATCGCAGCTATCAAAACAAATGATCGCTTTGCTTGGAGGTGAATCCAATAATTACATCGCTTACCTTGCACACATTCGATGAGCCACAGCTTCTGCTAACAATCCACTTCTTATCGTTGAGCGTTTCATGTTGCTCAATATATGTCTTGAAGCAATATTTAGAGTCATCACAATCCATCTGGAGGGCATTTGTGCTAAGAGCAGTGAATCAATCAGATTTCAAAATACTCACCCATGATTTCACGGGATTCAAGTCGTCACTTCTGTCAATGTAGTAGTAACAGCGAACTGCAAATGCGCATGGCAGCGCTAGCACAGCAACCAAAAAAATTTTCATCTGAAATATGCGATTACCATATGATAAATTTACTGTAACGAAGAAGAGAGTTGCGATCAGTTGTTGATGAATGAAACTGAAGCACTTTGATTTGTGGTGAATGAGATTCTCGTTTGTGTGCTGTTATCCTCTGTAAACTATGATTCATATTATAGATTTCGCCGAAATGAGATTCTCGTCGGTGTGCTATCCTCTATAAACTATGGTTCCTATTTTTTTTCCTATATTATTGTACACGAGTTAGGCACGAGGGCTTAGTTGTTTATTCGGACCTAGCCGCAACTAAGTTAAACGATAGAAGTTCTCTATTCCTGCGTTACCAGTACACAGTCATAATTGGTCCATATCATGCTCAAAGAAGAGCCAAGGTGTAACCATACATTAGGTTGAGAAAGTTCGTTCGCATCAATTTTACACACCTTAACTTCCTCCTGTTACGATACTATTGCACGGCAAAAAACTAATAGAAAGCATAGAACATGTACGTTCTAATGACATCTTGCTTGCTTCATACTATCTTTGATAGCAGAAATACAAATGGAAAAAGATGATTTTTAGGAATCCGATTTGAGGCAAGCTCTTCAAAATCCAAAAACTGTGCAGTAAGATCCAACAGCCAGCGTCATAAATCTTCTGACCTCCACCTTCTGACTGAGCAATGTACATGCTAAATGCGCTCTTCTTAGGAGAGTTATGGTTTTTAGAGAAATCAAAAAGTTAGTTTTTTTAAAGATTAATTTTTTTGGCATTTTTTGTCAAAAATCATAACATTCAAGGAAGACCTCGATCAGTACAAACTTTGCTCACTGAGAAAAAGGTTAGAATGACGATGGCTGTATTGGAATTGACTGCACTGATTTTGGAAAGGGCTTCTCGAATCGCCGAACCTTAAGGAAATTGTTGCTAGTCCACTTTATGCAACTCAAAAATTGAAAATCACGGATTTTGCGGGAAACTCGCCTAGGGGTTGGTTAATCGACTGCTGGTCACTAAATGATATTCATTTTATGGTGGGACTTTTTTGATGGGTTACGGTAGGCATTTCTCCAGTTTTTTATTCAGAATGAAGAGAAATCATGCATTTTCAAGCTAAGTTCTCTTCAAGTAAGTCATTGGTACGTGGTTGCACTAGTTTTTCTGATGCTATTACTTCTTAGATTGTTCTACATGGAATAATCCAGTTCAGGGTGTCGCGAAGTCTATGATTTTTGATGTAGCCCTTTCTCGCGATAGACCTACTCATTCCCCACTGATCTCAGAAAGTTCGTTCACTCCTTTATGTATAACGTATGTTGCAGTAGAATTTCTGAATTTTTGTAGAACCTCCTCCTGTCTGCCAACCGTCCCCTGCCTTGTACAGACCTTTTTGGTCGATGTCCCAACTAGATGCGGTCGTTGGTAAGCCAAATGGCAGTTTTTTAAACAATCTTGCTTTCATGCTTTATTCCTTTAGATCCTGTTGCTGGGATGAGTACCTGTTAACGGTTTGTTGCAGTTCGTGCGTAAGATGAAACACACGAAAAGGTAAGGCATTTCTCTTTTGTTGCTTATTAATACTGTGATCCTGTGCAATAATAGGCTGTGCTCATCGAATTTCTGATACGCACGGGTCAGAAGTAGCTGGTGCTAGTCATATTGCTCAATTATTTGAAAGCCAAACAGTTGCGATTGCATCAGATTGGAAAGCTGTTTAATCTTATTGTTGGAAAGTTCTTTCTATCCACATCAGTTCTGAGCAATGGCGCTGGTGGGTGTTCCTTTTGAGCTACTGTTCATCATCTATGATCGCAGCAACTTTGCTGACTAATTTGATTTAGAGTTGTAAAAACCGCAGCTGGAGCCTGTGCCTGTGCAATAACATCTATGAGTGGAACAACAGGAGATGCAAAGCAGTATATTGTCCCGATGATGGTACGTCGACAAATAAGCGATTTATTGCGTCAAGTGTTCTTGAAAATGTTGCCAAGCATTTTGCTAAACTAATCTTGGGTTTAGACAGCTCCCCGCTGCCACTCTTTCCTATCAACTTGTTGTATTTTCGTGATCAAAAGTGCCAGTGTAATATTGAACTTGCGGTCAAATCTAGCGCGCCTCTTTGGTAATAGTCTTCTAATATCAGATGGATTCGAAAAGATCTGACAGTTTGTATTTTCTTTATGAAGTCGTTGCTTGGATAGTTTACGGCAGCTGCACGCCTAGCTCTATTGCCAGGGTCAAGCTTGAGGCGTGGCATGCTACACCTGGGGGGTCGTATTGAGGGGTCGGGGAGGGGAAGGAAAGGGGGGGGGGGGGGTGTTATCTGTCATCCAAGTGAGCTGATGCTAGCGATAACACAATATTCGTTAACAATGTCAGGTGGGCGCTGTGTAAAATATTGTATTTATCTTGTCCCCTTTCGCGAGTTACATTAGCGCAGACTAGGCATGCTACCGTTAACCCAACATTCGCAGTATTTTCCATTTGCATAGGTAAGGGAAAACGACTATATCTTTCCCTAGAAGAAACGATTTCAAATGGTTTTCCCACTGTATAAGGAAGAAGGTTGAGCAATAGCAACGATATAAAAAGCGCAGATATCTGAATGTTGAAGGTAAGTTAATGAGGCGTGGCACAGCCCTAAAAGGCTATGGCCGCCACAGCTCTTAGGGGTTGTGCCACACCCCAATAACTTACGAATTTTAGGAACAAATTAGCTACAGTTCGATAGCAAAAAGCTTGCAGCTTTTATAGATGTGATTAGAGCAGAATTCGTTTCCTTTCGTTTGAGTAATAGTTGCTAGAAGCACAACCACAGCAAGCGAAAAATGGGACAGACGAGATTTTAGCTGGCTTCTAATTCCATAGTCTGAGATTATTTGAAGCAGGATTCATGTGTACGCAAATAGGGAGTAGTGCTTCATACTGAGTACAAAAAGAGGTAGGTAATTCGCTTTTGCAATATATTAGGCTGTCCGGAAATTAATGTCCGTTTTGAATATCAACCGCAGTAAGTCATAAAATTCTCATTTCTGAATAAGTTGCAAGGTACCATTCGATAGAGCAAAGCAAGCTTTACAGAATGGCTTTCTTGCTTTCGCAACAGCTCTCATTAACCCTGAGTTTCGACCCAAAAACTGAAATGATTCAACTGCACGAAAAAGTGAGAAAAAATGTAACTCAGTTCATATAAATCCTACAAAAGTTCTAACTTGCTCACGTAAACACTATCCACTTAAGACATCTATATGCGCCGTTGCCGTCTTTTTTCACCTCTTAAAAATCAAGAAATCGAAAATTCTCGTGCATCGTCCAAAGTGAAGCTGTGCAGTCCCCACATGCGCAGTTGTGTACTACAAACCCGTAGAAGTACAAATCAGGGTCAAGTAAGGGGTGTGGCACACGATCGCTGGTTACGACCCCCCCCCCTTGATTGCTGTCTTAATAAGACCCCCCCCCCCCCCCTGAACTATACACTTAAGATAACATTACTTGAAGGCCCTCTCAAACATAATGGGCAACATATCCATAATTAGCATGTCAAATAAAGACCCCTGTAGACAAAGTGTGAGCGAATTCTGAAGATTCAAAATACTAGGCTACCTAAGTGAAATGGTCAAATTCCAACATATTAACTTTGTTTCAAAGGTGAATAAGCTATACGATTTTGCACTCAAGACAAAGCACTACTCCTTCTTTGTCCATCTCAGGAATCCCGCTCCAGAAGACCTCCAAACTGTGGAATTAGAAGCCAACCAAAATCTCGTTTCTCCCACTTTTCGCTTTTGATCGCTGTGCTTTCACCAAATATTACTCAGAGCTAAGAAGACGAATCAGGCTCCAAACAGTCCTATGGAATCTAAGAGGTTTAGGCTATTGATTCATAGAAATACTGTCCGCTAAAATTGTTCTTTTGATAGAGTTAATGAGGTGCGGCACACCCCCTTAGAAGCTGCGGCTGCCGCAGGTTTTGAGGGGGTGTGCCGCACCCCATTAACTCTATAAAAAAAAAACAATTTTGGCGGACAGTATTTATATGAATCGAAGACGCATAAGAAAAGAACTCCCAAGAAAGACTAATTCTGATAGTGCCCCATCGGAGGGCAAGCGTTAGGCGTTTTGCACAAAACGTGCAAAACGCAAGCCAGTTGATTTCGTGGACTATCTTGGAGAGATGCCCGCCGAGATTGGCAGCGTAGTGATAGAAAAAAAGCTTCCCAGATAAAAAAAACATTTGGATGTGATCAATGCAAATCATAAGATTTGGCAGATAATGTACATTACCGGGCATGAAGATGCGATACCGCGAAACCAAATGCTTTGAAGTGGAAAAAATAATTCACTGAAATCAGCGTTAACGACTGTCCATTATGTACATCACTGGGTGAAGGATAGTGTAATGCTGTATGATGCTCATTAATGGATAGGCTCGCTCAGGGAGCCTTGGGAAAGGCGTAAGAAGGATGTTTGAAGAATCAAACATTTTTGAAATTTTCGAGGTTTCATTCTGTCATCTTTGATCACAAGAGGAGACCTTCTGTTGAACGCCCACAAAAGGATTCGCCACTGGGAGGGGTTCAGAGTGCGCTCCATCGCCATTTCGATCGGAGCATCGTCTTTTCAATTGGAGCGCACTAGCTCCAAAGACTTCACATTTGACGCCATTTCTGAGTAAACCTTGAGTATACGTATAGTCTTGAACATCTTTGTGGAAATCAGTTCGTAAAATGCGGACAAATCATGTTAGAGGATTAAAGAAGCCAATTCTCTGTTACCATAAGACCCGTATGCGTGTGTTTCATGCGTAGAACAAATCCTGTGAAGCACCAACGCATTTTGCTGCATACTTCTGGAGCGCGAACCAACATGCCCGCCAAAAGTCCAAATTCTTAACAATGGTTTGCCCGCCAGCATGCCGGTTTTTTTTGTTTTTTTTTGTTTTTTTTAATTCGGCATCTTACTTTCATTTGGCATCCTACTTTCACAATAGCCGGCCTATTTATGCCCACTAAATCAAAGGCCTCTTAGAAGAACACTAAGGCAACTTCTACGCCTCGTAAATGCATTTCTGCTGATAATTCTTGCCCGAAGGAAGACCCCAAAACTACTATTCTGACTTTTAATGAAGCTTTTGCACAACGCCTCAGGGCCTTGACGGCTGATGAGGCGCTGCCCAATTGTCTGAAGATTATGGTGGATATTTTGATGGAAACGAAGAAAGAAGTAGGTAAGCTGAATCAGAAAATGAGGGAAGTGATCAAAGAAATTGCGCAGTACGAGCGGAAAACAGTAGGGTGGAGCGTGCCGATTTTCCATCTGAAAGCGAAATGGAGATGAAGCGTTCAATAATCGTAGCCGGTGTTCCTGAATCCGAGTCTACATCTGTTCTCTAAAAGTCAATCATAATTGCAACTGTATCTCTGCATTACTTGATTTCTTAGCGTCGATGCTTATCATGTACCGTATATCGTATGGGACGGAAGATCTCAGGAAAGCCTGGGCCGGTAGTTATCCCCCCGACCTGGCGGCAGGTCTCGTCGGCAGGTCGCTGGCACCTTTTCGGTGAGGTGGCCAGAAAGTGAGACCCCAAATTTGGGCCGTCCCAGGCCTTATTCCAAAAAATTTTTTCGATAAAGATGCCACCTCGACTCTGTAGAAAACTCCATCGAAATTTGCGGATCCAAAACTTCTCCTTTAGAAAAATATCTGGAAGCGCAGGAGGAGCTGCCGGCAACTTCGCGATGTCAGTTGCCGGCAACCTGCCGGCAGCTCGTCGAAATCCGCGAGATGGCAGCTGCCGGCAGGTCGGAGAGCACGGGAAATAGCGTGCCCTTTTGAGAGAGGGAGCTGCCGGCATCTCGACGTGCCCCTACCACGTCGAGGTGGTGGCACCTTTGCCGACGGCGTCTGTGAGTTTGCGAATTGCGGCGATATCACACAAATTACGTCAGGCAAAAAAATCAAAAAACTCTACTTTCTATCAAAAAACTATCGTTTTTCTCATTAAATGAGTTTTTCCTTTTAAAAACGACTATTTTCTTACAGAGAAAAAATCTGGTAATGCCTTATAACCATAAAAAACACTATCTTTTTTGGCAATCCCTTCTAAATTTCGTTTGCACCGATTTCGCCCCTCTCTCGCTCATATCAATCAGCTGTTCTTTCAGGTCCAAGTTTCTCACTCAATGTATTGATCCCTCTTACAGGCGGCCCTTACCGGTGCGTTCCTCTTATTGTTGGTGCAGTCGGCAACGGTTGTCCGAATGGTTGAATGGTTAACGGGTGGCACTTGAAGTCAACGCACTTAGGTTCGGCCGCGCGCGAGGTAGCAGTTTTGCGGCTGTGTGCGTCATCAAAATTTGATGTGCGAAATGAAATGCGCGCTAAAGTTACATAAGATTATCAAAACTTATACTCCACGAGCTGCCGGCGAAGTTGGCATCTTTCCGCGATATGTGCCAACTTGCCGGCATCTATGATGCCACCAGGTAGGGTAGATTACTACCGGCCCTGAACTTCTTAAAGTTATTCTGCCCCACCAGCTAATTCCAAAAGCAGGTTCTTACTCGTGCTCCCGGATTAAGGTTCTTCCTTAAAAAAGGCGTCTTCGTACGACCCTCATTGCCGACGAAGATAAGAGAGCCTATGAGGAAGAAACGTCAGTCTAAGGGCCGCATGCACTAGCATCCCCGCGGGGAAGGGATTGCAGCTTAAAAGAAAGCCTTATATTTCGAAACTCCAGACACCTGGATTTCACGTTGTGTACCTACCTTAGGAAAAGCGCCGGGGATCATCAGGGATCATACAAAAGCTGGAAAATGCGATTCGTGCAGCTTCTCGCTCCTCTTCAACATGTTCATAGTGAAGGATAGTAGGAATACTTACGAATAGGTACACAACGTGAAATACAGGTATCTGGAGTTTCGAAATATAAAGCTTTTTTTAAGCTGCGATCCCCTCCCCAGCGGGGAGGCTAGTGCATGCGGTCCTAAATTATCTAATACTGGCTTTACATTGATCACGAATAGCCTATTTTCTCTGCAGGTTCTTATGACGGGATTATGGTGGACAGTAGTCGGGCGAAATCACGAAATGAACAAACCCTGAGCTCGCGGGATTAAAGACA